TTCTTTCCCGCGAAACCTTCGGGAAGGCCAAAGGGAATAATCAATCGAGCGCAGTCGTCGTCGGTTTCACAGCGGATCATTCCCAAACCGAAAACGTCGCGCAGCGTTGCTCTTGGATCGCAGGCCGCGCGCAGCCGCATGGAAACTACGCAGTCAATAACGCAGTTCTTGAGGCAGTCGTCCGATGGGTTCGGCGAGAACGACAAGCGAATGTGATCCACTAGCCGTTCCTGTGAGCCCGCGTTCGGGATCTTGGCTTCTTCTTGCTCTTTCCTTGGATCAGGCGCGACAGCTCCCGCAAGTTTCTCCGGCGCAAGCTGTCCTGTTTTGTGCCGCGACAACATCGCGTCATAACCCGCGGCCGCTTCTGGGGTCCCGACGCGCCCAACGAAAGTCTCCGCCGCGAGAGGAAACCGCGATTTACCTGGCCCCAAAACAATCGCTGCGCGATGCACCTCTGAAGCCTCAAACGCACGGGGACGCGAGGTCAGCGTCTGACCAACGCGGCACTTCGGGATCACACCGTCGTTGCAAATTGTCGAGTGCTCAAGAAAACTGTTCATGATAGCCGGCCATCGAACGAACAGGTTAATGCCCCCTTCTTTTGGACGTTCTGCTCAGGCCTTCCTTTGGGATTCATCAACCCTGATCCAAAGAACGGATTGAACGTCTACTGTTCTGACCGTGGCAGTCAGCGCATTGATCAGATGATTGCATTCCTCCACACGTTTGCCCAGAATCGATCGGATCTGAACAAAATCAGGCGATGGGGCCATGCCCGAGAGACGCGCTTCGTCGCTCCATTGAAAGGTACAGATAGACGAATCGGACCAGGAGACTCTCGTAGCCATGTTCTCGTTCGCAACCCAATCCACGAACCCTGGAGAATCGACGTCGACGTAGTCAGCCAACGGCGTGCGTGCAACTACCTCTGGGCTGAATGGCAACTAGTGACTACGACTGGTTCCGGCGAGCGACCCCACGGCACTCATCCCGCTTCCCCTACGCCTGTCATCAGACGGAGCCTGCATGGTTCATCGCAATGCATAGACGAATGGCACGCCGAATATACATCCCCATGTCCTCGTCAAATGCATCGTCAGCCCCCCCGGCCAACGCTGGTTTGAAGTGCAAGCTGTCTCCTTCAGGGCGCTCTCCAATTCGGTAAATATCAGCGCCCCTGATCCACGACATCCTGCGTGGAAAGCCCAGTTCCCCCAGGCCAAGCACCCGCGTGTCAGCCACGGCCGCAGCTCGACTTGCCAGGGCGCTCCAAGCAACGCGCGCTCCACTAGCAGGCGGCGAACCCCAGGAGGAGGGGCATCGCCCAGTCCCATCGCCGCCACGTAGGAAGCCCGAGTCATTGCGCAGCCACCTTGGGGGCCAACAAGTTGCTCGACCTGCTCAAGCACACGCCGATCCATATCGAAGAACGATGATCCACTTGTGCCACTCGCCGTGCCACGCAGTACGCGGTCACCATTCGTGTAGAGTCCGCTGCCGCTCCGCGGGGGTGCCCGCACATTTTCGCCTCGGCTCGAATGGAGCACTCTTCCGCCGTGCCCCAGCTCCTTGTTTTTCGGCGGCCGATCAATCTTACAAATCTTGTCTAGCGTGATGCCTCCCTCCACGATGCCATCACATCCGCCCGTGTAGTTGTGGGCCACTTCTCGAAGCATTGCGTTATTTGATCTCATTTGACTCGGCCCCTGGCGCCAGCTACGCTCGGGGCCCCAGTTCCTCTGGTCGGGGCACTGGCACTGCCGGCGCCGTTATTGGGCGAACCGGGGGCAGATCTCGGCAAGCCGCTCGCGGCCCCCTACATGCCTGCATCGCCTTCATCAGCTCGCTGCGACGCGTCGTTCGGCCATTCAGGAGCCTTCGACGCATCTTTGCGCCTACGCCACGCCACCTCCCCACGCCCGCCGATGATGCCCCTGCAGGGGGCCAGCCCGCAGCCGGCCGCGGCGCCGCAACCTTCGGCTCTTCGTTTTGTTCTCCTGCGAAGCCCGGGGCAGGCGGAACCGGCCATCGGCCGTGCCCCGCAGGCCTCACCGTCGGGCCCTCCGCAGGTGAGGGCCCCCCGGTGCTCGTCAACCTCTAGTCGTTTTGTCCGCGCGTCGTTTGCTGCGTTGCTCTTCGGCTGCAGCGCGGCGTTCCACGTTCTCTTCCGCCTCGCGCGGAGTAGAAATCAACTTCTCGCGCTCGGCCATAGCGCCGCCCACAAACGCCGTCAAGCGCCGAGCGACCGCGCTCGCAATCCCATGCCCCGACGAGGCCGCGGAACCGCCGCGCGGCTTCCTCGCGACAAGTCGACCTTCGAATGGCCCTGCACATGGCAGAATTTGAGCGGCAACGCGCTCTCCCATTTCCGCCCAGACCCCGCGCCCCCCCCCTTCCTCCGGGCGCAGCGAGGCAAATCGCGCGGCGATTCTCTTCTCGATCGAAGTGGTGCCCACCATAGGCGCTCGCACGTCACCGACAGTCGCGATCTGCATTCTTCGAACAGAGAAAACACCACTCGGAACCAGTGCCTACTGCCAAGCGAACAGGCGGGCGCGCTACTCCGCGGGGGCCGGATGCTCCGCCCGGCGCGCTAACGGGCACAGCCGACCTGCTCGCTGAGGTGTTCTCTCTCAGTTTGATTTGGATATGTCGTTCCGACAGCTCGCGATACTGCGCCTGGCGGCAAGCCCCCCAATGCTCGAACGCCTGCGTCGCGGCCACTGCTGCGTCACGGGGCACGGCGCCCAGTTCGGCGCTGGCATCATGTTCCGCCATCTGAGCCCTTAGCGAAGCCCCCCTGGCCTGGGCGATCGCGCGAGCAGACGAGAGCTTTAGATTCCAAAGCGACGGCGTGCACCCGCTGTCGAGAGACATCGACTTTGCCTGGGGCTCTACGCAACAAAACTGCACTCTCGTCCGCCGCGCGCTTAGCCAATTCGACAGCGGCCCGCCCCCCGGCGGCCGCTTCCTGAATCTCAACGACGGCCTCCGACGCCAATTCCGCGCGGCGTGCGATTGCGGACCTGCGCTCAGCAGGCAGCTGATCCACCGCCGCCATCTGGCTTTGTCCGGCCCCCCAGGCAGCGGGAGAAGCCTTTTCAGCAACGGCCCCAGCTGCAGCTCGCGACTGCCTCTCCGCCGCCCCGCTTGCCTCGAGTCGGCGCGCCATGCCTTTCATGGCGTGGGCCCTTTGGGTTCTACCGGCCACTGCAAGACGCGCGCGTTCCTCGGCGCGCTCCAAGGCGCCAGCGGCGGCCCAGCGGGCCAACTCGATTTGCAGCCTCGCCGCCGCCCTCTGTTGAAGTTCCGCAGCCCTGACCTGTTCCTACATGTGCGCTATTTCTCTTTCTCGGTATTCCATCTGGGTGGCGCGCCCCTCTTTTTGCATCCCCCCCCGCGCTCGGCGGCGGAGGGCCATGCAGTCATGCGCGCTGGGAACGAGGCGGCACAGGAAACTCACGTTGCATTCGGGGCAGGTTCGCTGAGCACGCCGAACAAACAAGTTGTTTACACTTGCCAAGCATTCCGGGACATCTGACCTCCGGGACGTCGACACCGTCGACCCCATTTGTGAAAGCACGATTCTCACATACGGTAGCTTGAAACGTTCGAGCGACCCGTGCATGCCGATCGCGAAGACGCCCCCGATGTCGCTGGTGGCCCCCGCCACCTCGCGGACGCCCCAGATCGAACCCTCGGCGAACGGGTCGTCCACGTAGGGGGGCCCTTGCTTGCAGGACTTGCCATCATCCGCCCCGAGCGACTCGCCCCGGCGCCCTCAGGCGAAGGGGGCGCAATGCGATTTGCGTCTCGCTCTGCAGCCATCTCCAGACCGGCATTGCACGATTCTTGCGGCCGGCGCACGGGTCTCGATCGCTTGATCACCGGCGACATTGACAAAGTCACGTCATCTCGGCGTCGCCGTCGGTGTCCGTGGAACGCCCCCAGAAAGTGGATCTTCGCAAGGGTCTTCAGTGGCGTCGTGTTCCGTACAAGACAGGGTTTCGTGTCCCCGACGCGGTTGCTCGACTCTACCATCGGACTGACGATTACTTTCCTCCTCTTTCGTTTCGACATCAGTATCGATAATCGACGAAGACGGGCCAAATACGTCGTCACCCGAAACTACATCGATGACTGTCATTCCTGCGCCAATATAAGGATGATATTCCGGCCTAGGCGTACCTGGCCCAAAAGGAGAGCTGTCACCGCTAGACAAAGGGGCAAACATGTTCATACTCGCACGCTGCAACGAACGTGATGTCAGGCCCCTGACATCGTCCGGGTCGTGTGAAAGACGATGGTTGCCGGTTCTTTCAGGCCGCGTGGATGTTCTGGTGAGCCAACAATACCATTACCAGTTCCTGAAGGGAGCGCCCCCTGGCCTCGTGGAAGCTAACCACTGATTTGCGTATCTGTCGTTATAATCGGCAAACGTGTATTGGCATTGGTATTGGTATTTTTCAAGTAGCTCACGAGAAACTAACCTCCCACTACGAACAAGTGAATACATGGCTAAGTAAGTCCGTTAAGCGGAGCTATTCTACGCAAAATATGGTGCATCCGTGTGCGCGCGCGTATGGTTGGCCCGCCTGGCCGGCCGGCCGGCGGGCGCTTTTGCTTAAGTATCTATACGCAGCTGCAGAGACACTCCCTCCGCATGACCCCTGGGAAAAGAACGGATGGTTGTATCAATAAGCGGCGAAGGTAGTGTTAGGAAAGACTAGATGTACGATCGGCCTGGGCTGCATCGCGCTGCATTGCGTGGGGAGTGCAACTTGGTCATGAACAATCGTTATGCGTGTTTGCGCGCACCGCAGGAACATGCAAAGTGCAACGCCTCCGCTGGATTGTGAAATTAACTTCGCCGAGCGTGTCAACACACACTCTCCCTCTTTCTCTCTCTCTCTCTCTCTAATTATCTCTCTCTATTTCTATCACTTTCTCTCGCGCGCGCCAATCCAAACACACAAACGAGAAAAAATGGATCGCGCCTGGCTGAGGACGAAAGCCTCCTCAAGCTTTCGCTTCTCCATTGCCAACACATTCTCCAGACGCGTGACAGAGCCGGTCGCCTTCGAGACGCGATCCTGGCGCAACATCACTTACTGTGTCGATCTCTCCCTCCGCGTCACTACAACCATTGGCGACGAATGATTATGTGGACAATGCAATTGGCACAACGGCATTTTCGTGGAATGCAGGGCAGACAGACAGATGAGTGAACAGGACCTTGCCATATTTGCGACGCAGAGCTGGACAGAAGTGGCAAATATGGGGATATAGACGCACAACAGAGAGGCCTGAACAACACAATGTCCCGCGAGGACTCCGAACAAGTTCGAAACCTAGACAGGCTCAAAAAAGATCCAGTATTACACCCGCTCCACTCCGATACCACTACAGGCATCACTCCACAGCGTAGTTGTTGGAAGTGGCTTCGGTCACCTCCAAGCCCCAGAGGGGCGCTCCAGCCGCGCTGAGGGTCAGAGCCTCAAAGGTTTGCACGCACGCTGGATCTAGCCGGACTCTTACGGCACATCACGCACCTGCCCCGTCAGAACGAACTCCGTTCCAAAGTCCCCTCAGTCCTTGTCCTCCTCCTCCCCCTCCTCCTCCTCTTCCTCCTCTGCCTCCCACCCTAACGTGGCTCGCCCTCCCGCTCCTCGTCGTCGCCGACACCGTCGTCCTCCTCCTTCTATACCTCTGTAGACGCCTCCTGCCTCCTGCTCTCGCTGCACACCCGCGCGGTCGCAAATCCCACCCACGTTCCTCGCCGGTTCGTTCTTCCGTCAGGGAGGACTCGTAGCGGGCCCTCGCATACCTGGCGGGTGAGCTCAAGCAAGGGCGAAGGGGGGCCGCGGAAAAGCCCAGCGAGGAACGCGGTACGGTGAGCCAGGCCACAGTGGCATGCTTTAGTCAGGCATGGTTGTACTGACCTGGCCTGATTCCAGCTGCGCGAACATCTAGTTTGGCCTATTTGACTTGGGCATGTTTTAGTTAGGCCTGGTGCTTTGGTTTGACCTGGTTGTAGTTTGACCGGGCCTGATTCCATCTGCGCAAGCATTTAGTTCGATTTATTTTGAATAGGCATATATCACAAAGGCCAATGTTAGCTAGACCTGGTGCCTTAGTTCGGCCTGGTTGTAGCTGGACCTTGCCTGCTTCCAACTGCGCGAGCGTGCGTGGCTGTGCGTGCGCGTATGCTTACGCGTGCAGGTGTGAGTGCGTGAGTGCGAGTGTGAGTGTGAGTGTGTGTGTGTTGTGTGTTGTGTGTTGGGTTGTGTGATGTGTGTTGTGTGTGTGTGTGTTGTGTGTTGTGTGTTGGGTTGTGTGATGTGTGTTGTGTGTTGTGTGTTGTGTGTTGTGTGGTGTGTGGTGTGGTGTGTGTTGTGTGTTGTGTTGTGTGTCATGTGTTGTGTGCGTTGTGTGTTGTGCTGCTTGTGTTGTGTGTCGTTTGGATTGTGCGTTGTGTGCAGTATGTGTTGTGTGTTGTGTGTTGTGTACTGTGTGCTGTGTGCAGTGTGTAGTGTCTGGTGTGTTGTGTGTTGTGCTGTGTGATGTGTGTTGTGGTGTATTGTATGTGTTGTGATGTGGTGTGTTGTATGTGCTGTGTGTGTGTTGTGTTGTGTGTTGTGTGCTGTGTGTTGTGTGTGTTGTGTGTGGTGTGCTGTGTGTTGTGTGTTGTGATGTGTGTGATGTGCTGTGTGTTGTGTGTTGTGTGCTGTGTGCTGTGCGTTGTGCGGTGTGCGTTATGTGTGCGTGTGTGTGTGTGTCTCTGTGTGTGTTCGGTGCTTTGGGTGTGTGTGTGTGTTGTATGTGTTGTGTGTTGAGTGTGTATGTTGTGGAGTGTGTGTGTGGTGTGTGTTGTGTGTGTGTTTTGTGTTGGTGTGTTGTGTGTGTGCTGTGTGTGTGTTTTGCGTTGTGTGTTATGTATGTTGTGTGTCTTGTGTGTCGTGTGTGTCTTGTGTATGTTGTGTGGGCTGTGTGCTGTGTGTGTTGTGTTGTTTGTGTGTGTGTTTTGTGTGTTGTGTGTGTTGTGTGTGTTGTGTGTGGTGTGTGGTGTGTGTGTGTGTGGTGTGGTGTGTGTGTGCTGTGTGTTGTGGGTTGTCTGTGTGTTGTGTGTGTTGCTTGTGTGTGTTGTGTGGTGTGTGTTGCGTGTGCGTGATGTGTGTGGTGTGTGTGCGGTGTTGCGTGTGTGTGTGTGTTGTGTTGTGTGGTGTGCTGTGTGTGGTGTGTGTGTTGTGTGTGGTGTGTGGTGTGCGTTTTGTGTGCTGTGTGTGTTGTGTGTTGTGTGTTGTGTGTGTTGTGTGTTGTGCGTTGTGTGCTGTGTGTCGTGTGGTGCGTGCTGTGTTGTGTGGTGTGTGTTGTGTAGTGTGTAGTGTGTAACGTGTACTGTGCAGTGTGTAGTGTGTAGTGCGTAGTGTGGCGCAGTGTGGTGTAATGTGGTGTAAGAGTTGTGTCGTGCGGTGTAGTGTGGTGTGGTATGGCCCGGTGCGGGGTGTGGGGTGTGGGTGTGGGGTGTGGGTGTGGGGTGTGGGGTGTGGGGTGTGGTGCGTGGTGCGTGTGTGTGTGTGGTGTGTGGTGTGTGGTGTGTGGTGTGTGGTGTGTGTGGCGTGTGGTGTGTGGGTGTGGTGTGTGGTGTGTGGTGTGTGGTGTGTGGTGTCTGGTGTGTGGTGTGTGGTGTGTGGTGTGTGGTGTGTGGTGTGTGGTGTGTGGTGTGTGGCGTATGGTGTGTGGTGTGTGGCGTGTGGTGTGTGTGGTGTGTGGGGTGGTGTGTGGTGTGTGGTGCGTGGTGCGTGTGTGTGCGTATGCGTGTGAGTGTGCGTGTGCGTGTGCGTGAGTGTGTGTGTGTGCGTGTACGTGTGCGTGTGTGTGTGCGTATGCGTGTGCGTGTGCGTGTGGGTCTGCGTGGGGTGTGGTGTGGGTGTGGGTGTGGGTGTGGATGTGGGTGTGGGTGTGGGGGTGGGTGTGGGGGTGGGGGTGGGGGGGGTGGGGGTCAAGCTAGCCAGCTCGAGCGAGTCAAGCATGGCATGCCCATTCCCACCCGCCCTCCCACAACGTAAGAAACAGTGGTGGCACAACTGGGGGTTGCGCGGGCATTTCAGTGCGAGTGGAGGATACCCCAGGACACCGCATTGACGTCCGCGCGGGATGTGCGCCGCGTCCCATTCCCGCCACGAATTTCGTAACGTCGACGACAAGACTGGCCATGTTGAAAAGAAAAACGGACACGTTCCGCCCTCCCACAACATAAGAAACAATGCTGGCCCAACTGGGTGCTGGCGCGTAGTGGTGGTAGTAGTAGTAGTAGTAGTAGTAGTCGTAGTAGTAGTAGTAGTCGTAGTCGTAGTAGTAGTAGTAGTAGTAGTAGTAGTAGTAGTAGTAGTAGTGGGGTGGGGGTGCGGGTGCGGGTGCGGGTGCGTGGTAAGTGGTGCGTGGTGTGGTGGGTGTGTGTGGTGTGTTGTGTGATGTGTATTGTGTGTTGTGTGCTGTGTTCTGTGTGTTGCGTGGTGTGTGTTGTGTGGTGTACGGTGCGGGGTGTGTGTTGTGTGTTGGGTATTGTGTGTTGTGTGTTGTGTGGTGTGTTGTGCTGTGTGATGTGTGTTGTGTTGTGTGGTGTGTGTTGTGTTGTGTGCTGTGTGGTGTGTGTTGTGTGTTGGGTGGTGGGTTGTGTGTTGTGTGTTGTGTGGTGTTTGTGCTGTGTGGTGTGTTATCTGTTGTGTGGTGTGTGTTGTGTGCTGTGTGTTGTGGTGTGTGTTGTGTGTTGTGTGCTGTGTTGTGTGTGGGCGTGTGTGTGTGTGTCTGTGTGTGGGTGGGGGGGGGGCGGGGGGCGCGGGGGGGCGCGGGTGTAGGTGTAGGTGTGGGTGTTGGTGTAGGTGTGGGTGTGGGTGTGGGTGTGTGGGCGTGAGCGTGGGCGTGGGTGGGTGGGTGGGGAGGCACTTTACAGCTTGGACATTGGCGACGCTGAAGTTGTTCGGCCCTGGCGGTTCTCAAATCTCCCTCCCTCCCTCTCCCCTGCGCCCCGCCGCCCTCTTGGTTTCTCAAACTTGTGCACTTGAAATCGATGTTGACAACCCCAATGCAGTCGCATTGCCAGCTGCATAGGATCTTCTCGAATTTCGGCCGCGGCGCCAAGCCGCCTTTTCAGAAACTCTGGTGCTGAATCGCTGCCGCTCGCCAGCGATGATGGATACGGCTACGACACGCAGCCCCCTGATTACTGCCCTGCGGATTCGCAGGCTTTCTAGGCGCCGCGAGCCACGAGATGTGGCCTTGTCGGTTGTTCTCTTGCGCTAGAGTATACGCTCAGCGTATGTTTACATTCAGCTGCTGCGTCGGGTCTTCCTGCTGGTAAGTGGTTGTAGGGCTCCCTGAAACAAACAATGGAAACATAGGATGCGTATCACTGAGATCAGAGGTACATTTGACGGAATGATGCACTTCAGATCGGAACTAAAATCCGAGTTGGTAGCCGGACGTCCAACAAATCGATTACGAAAACGCTTTAAGCTATAATCAGAGCCAAGCGGAAACCTGGGGAAAGAGTGCTAAGGTCACAGTCAATGTAAGATTAGGACCAAGTGGGAGTCATCATCAAGGCTAGTATTGCGGCATTGGTGTGAGCATCGAAAAACCACTCGTTTATCATATGATCGCAACGAATGGATTTAGAGCGAGGCCTGAATTACACTCAAAGTCAGGGTCGTGTCAGAGACAAACCATCGCCCAAGACTGTGGGCCGACCTTGTCCTAGAGAAGCAACCCGGGCTAGACTTCTGCTGAAATGTTCCTAAGGTGAACTGCCTGCAATAATACCTCTGGTGGTTCGCACGATCCCGAATCAACAGCTTCCTCCCCTCCCCTCCGTTGGTTCCCGCGCGATCCCAATTCCGTAGCCAGACCCCCCCCCCCGCCATGGCTTCAGGAAGCCCCCGCTCGCCCCCGCTGGCGTTCGTTGGCCGGCGCGGTCGGCCCTGATTGATCCCCGTCGTCCGGCCTGTAGGACAATCTAGTGTAATAGAGTTGGGCGTCGTGGGATACAGGATGCACTGATAATGCAAACCAGTATGATACGTCCCACTTGTCGTAGCACAACAAATAAAAAGTGTAAAATTACCATGCGTTCGTATGCAATGTGGTACACGGCGTTGTTCCATATAGCAGAGAACTGCATCACTGTGAACAGCCCGTGGAGCCATGTGTCTGCGTACTGTACGGCAATGTTAAGAAATGAGAACGGCCTTGCAGGAGATGTGAACGTGTACGACTGACACAGTTTAGCATTGTGAATTACACCAAGTGGAAGCGTAGCACCGTATTTCATGAGAGGGGAGATTGTATCATCTTACGCGGCGGGATGCTGCTGTGAACGAGAACTTGATGCACATATTGGCCATGTTATATACGATTGTATGCTCAACACTCGGTTGTTGCGTGAGGCATAGCATGAAATATATGCAATGTCTGAGTTGATCTCCTGGCAATAATTCATGCGACTTTGTCTTGGCGCGATTGCACTGTAGGAGCATTACAATGCAATATGGCAGGCATGATGACGTAATCGTATACGATGTTGTAGCCATGCGCAGTACACTACAATGCAATACGATGTGTGCATATAGGCTGGTACGGATTGGTGTACCATCGTGCACCACTTTTCGGCCTAATTCTGCAAAAACCAGCAAAGACATGACCGTATAGGATGATAGGGCACCCTATCGAAGCTTGTCAAGTGCAGGATCAGATAATATTTAGGGCCTTCTGCGGCCAAGGTGGCACGGGGCTCCTGTCTCGACCCCCAGGGCCAGTGTCAATGCCGCC